GGTTACTCTGTGGCTTTGGAGGCTGTCCTGGAACTTGCTTGGTAGTCCAGGCTGGTCTCGAACTCACATTCTCTCTTTTTTTAAAAGACTAAATGGCATTTTAAAAATTAAGAAAAACTAGTAATATTAAAATACCACAGCCTATTTATGCTGTATTTTATATCTTAGTTGTGTTTGAAAAATGTTTTGATCTTTGGAAACATTAAAATAAATAATGACATTTGTGGTTTAAAAAAATACCACAGTCTAAAAAAGATTAAATGATATTTTTTAAATTAAGAAAACTAATTATATTAAAACATCACAGCCTAGAAGCCTTTATTGCACAAATGTCTCACTTGGATGATGAGGCTTCAATTTGGGACATTTTCAGAATCCTTTGGGATAATCTTTGAAGATCTTGGAAAAAAGATTTCTGACTAAATAAAACAATAAGAATGAAATCTCACAATGTCAGTGACACTGCAGAGTGACAGTTAGCTTGATAACAGTTTGGCAGCTCCTTAAAACGTTAAGCATAAGGATGGTTCTGAACCAAAATGCAATTCCTACATATATATTAACCAAGAGGAATAAATATCCAAAATCTTGCTGGTCACAGTGTACCCACCTTTAATCCCAGCACTAAGGAGGCAGAGGCAGGTGGATCTGTGAGTTTGAGGCCAGCCTGGCCTACAGAGTGTGTTCTAGGACAGCCAGAGCTACACAGTGAGACCTTGTTTTGAAAAACAAAACAAAACAAAAAACACCAAAATGCAGTAGAAATCTAGAAGAATTTTTTTATCTAGGGTAGACATTAGAAAAAACCAGTTGTTTTCTGGATCTATTTAGACCTTGAAGAAAGCATTGTAGAAAACTGATTGTTTTCTGGGATCTGTGGAGTTGTTTTTCTGAAGGAGCTTTACAGCCTTTGCATGACTTTCATCACTGGCTGGTCCTCGAACACCTGGAGCATCTTACATTATTGGGTACTGCATACAGAGCACAAAAGAACTATGAAGTTGCAGGGGTGATGCTTTTCTTCAGAAACTATATGGATTAGATCAGTGGCTTTGGTATGAGGAACTTGTTTCACTCAAAAAACCACCTTTGTGTAACAACCAATAAGTACTCCTTTACACAGCTGTTTGGGGTTCCATTCTTTTTTTTTAATTTTTTAAATCTTTTTTTATATATGTATTTTATATTTTTTTTATTTATTTATTTATTTATTTATTTATTTATTTATTATGTATACAATCTTCTGCCTCCATGCCAGCAGAGGGCATCAGAGCTCATTCAAGGTGGTTGTGGGCCACCATATGGTTGCTGGGAATTGAACTCAGGACCTCTGGAAGAGCAGTCAGTGCTCTTAACCGCTGAGCCATCTCTCCAGCCCTGGGGTTCCATTCTTTTTTTTTTTTTTTTTTTTTTTTTTTTTTTGGTTTTTTGAGACAGGGTTTCTCTGTGGCTTTGGAGGCTGTCCTGGAACTAGCTCTTGTAGACCAGGCTGGCCTCGAACTCACAGAGATCCGCCTGCCTCTGCCTCCCAAGTGCTGGGATTAAAGGTGTGCGCCACCAACGCCCGGCCCTGGGGTTCCATTCTTATGAACTATTCCTCCCTGCTGTGACAGAGTGTGAATTGCATCTTGGAGTGACCCTCTTTCTTTGATCATCCCATGAAACACAGAACATCCAACACCAAAGTCTTGTGCAAGACTGTGGCAGCATTGACCATCATAACTCAAAATGGGACCAAAACAAATGTCCATTACTTTATGCTTGCGGGGGCGGGGGGGGGGGGGAGGAGGATACTGACCCAAACTGTAGCATGGATGAGCCTTGAAAACACTATGCTAAGTGAAAGAAGTCAGAAAGTAGATATGTTATTAGGATGAGTAAGGGAAATGACATGTGGCAGGTAATAGAGAATAAATCCAGGATATTATTTCAGAATGATGAAACAATTCTGAAACAAGCTCTCCATGAATGTCACACAACCCTGTGTGTGCACAACAGGAAGAAAAGCCTGACTACTTTCAAACGGTCAGTATGCACTGCAGGGCTAGTCCAGTGGTAGAGCACTAGCCCAACATGCATGCTGCTTGAAGTTTGATTCCCTGATGCCACAAGATAATTTAAGCAGAGTCTATGGCGTGTAAATCACCTCATAAAGATTATTTTGAGGCAGCTCTGGCTGTCCTGGAACTATGTAGACCAGGCTGGCCTCAAACTCACAGAGATCTGCCTCCCTCTGCCTCTGTTGGGGTTAAAGGGGTGTGCCACCATACCCTGATTTTGCTCTTGCAGAGGACCTAAGACTTACGTTTGATCTCCAGAACCCAGAGTGGCTCACAACCACCTGTAACTCTAGTTCCAAGGCATCTGATGCCTCTGTGGACACCTACAATCACATTCACATACTCACACACACACACAGTTAAAATTAAAACTAGGCTTTACAAAATGTGTGTGCATGGGAAATGTGTGTGCATGGGCTTCCGTGTACAGCATGGAAGCAGAAGAGGAAACTGGAATGCCCTTGTCCTTTAGTCTCTGCTTACTCCTTTGAGGCAGGACCTCTCCCTGAACCCATTTCTATTCATCTATGTGCCACCCCAAGGCTTGCTTGCCTTATCTATGAGCTTCCCATGTTGCGTTTTCCAAGTCTGGCTTAAGACTCCTCAGACTCCATTCTTCTTCCCAGTATTCTCCCTAACCCCCAAATCCTGCCTAGCTATCAGCCAATCGTCTTTTTATTAACAACGAGAGCAACACATTTCCACAGTGTACAGAGGGTTATTCCACAGCCCTCAGTTTTCTGCCAGCTAAATGGGATGCCAGCAAGTCCCATCAATTCACCTGTCTCTGCTCTCATAGCTGGGGTTGCAAGCATGGAGGATGCCTGTCTTGTCATATGGATGCTGGAGTTTAAACTCTGGTCCCCATGACTTCCAAGCAAGTGTTCTTAACCAATAAACCATCTCTTCAGTCTCGGGGTGGGGGTTGGGAGACCTTTTTAAAAGCATGGAAAGAAAAACAAAAACGTTCTCAAGAAGCAAAAGAAAACAAGATACAGAAACAGCATCCATGATGCTATATCAACATGGACACCAGTTGTCTTCAGCCTCGTCATCTTGTGTCTAATCGTTTTCCCATAGACTTACACAGGTGTTTGGGTAGGCAAGTGTCTGGAAACATGGGCTTCAATGAGAAATCAGGCAGAAAGCACCAGAGTCACAACCGGAAATATTGATGCAGTCCATATAAGAAACTATAGTTATCTGCTAGGGCTGATTGTGTCCCTCCTTGGAAGGCATTTGACAAAGTGTATAGGTCTTTCTTTACTGAGTCTATTGTTTTTGTTTGTGAAGGCCAGCAAGGACTCAAGCACTGTTTAGTTGGTTCAGTCTATTTCTTCCGAGCACTATGTCAGGGTTTTGTTTTTTGTCTTTTGGTTGTTGTCACCGTAACAAAATATCTGAGATAAACAACTGAGGAAAGATTTCTTTTGGCTTCCAGCTTCAGAGGCCACAGTCGTGTTCACGTGGCACCACCACTGTAGGACTGTGTTCGTTGACAAAGCAAAGCTGTTCACCTCATGGCAGCCAGGGAGCCTAGATGAAAGGAGGGGCCCAGGAGAGCCCTGTCCTCCACTGTGAACCACTCCTCCCCAAAAGACACTGCCTGTATCATAGACCCTATGCTTCCAGCAGTACCCATTTCCTTCCCGTTACATCCCCACCTGTCCTGATGACTTGATATCCGCCTTTACTGTTACTGTTTCCTGTATCTTATCTGCCCATTGGTGTCTTGTCTAACTCATGCTAAAACATGACTGGTTTAATTATAAAATGCCATACTGTATTTTCCACAGCCAGGAGAGCTAAATCCCCTTCGTAGCTTTTATTTTCTGACATTTCCCCCTAACCATCGTTTTGGTTTTGTTTCCTTATGAGACTTTTCACTTAAAAGTGTACTGAGGGCAGGTAAGATGAATCAGTAGGTAAAAGTTCAACCAAGCCTGACAACCTGAGTTCAATTTCCTGAACCCAGTTAAGGAAGATAGGAAAAAACCAACTCCACAATGTCACCCTCTGACCTCCATATGTAGACTTCACCACTGAACTACACTCCCAGGCCAGGAGACAATTCTTTACGGGTCTTCACGTACATTTTGGCAGAGCACACAGTGACTGCCCTTTTCCACAATTCTCTCTCCTCCTCCTCCTCCTCTTCCTTTTCCGAGACAGGAAAGTAGTCTTGGCTGTCCAGGAACTTGCTCTGTACACCAGGCTGGCCTTGTACTTAGAGATCCATCCACCTCTGCCTCCTGAGAGCTGGGATTAAAGGTGTGCACCGCCACAGCCGGGCTCCACAAAGGATTTTCAAGGATGTTTGTACCAATCATCCTTGGAAGGCAGTCAACACCCTCCTGAATGGGTGCACGCATGGGCACCAAGTGGGTGGGCTGACAGAACAGTGTGTGATGGATGGAATGAGTGGAAGCTTTCCTTCAGTAAGCTAGCAGCAGCCTGTCCCCCTGAGCGTTTCGACAGGTGAAGCGATTCAGGGTGCCTGTTTATAGCTTACCACACCCCAACCCAGCTGGCTGAAGTACATTTCCATATCCATGCTCAGGTCAGGCCAGGCAGACCTATTTCCTCCTGTCCGTCACTCCTACCTTCCTCCATTCCTGGCAGGAAGACATCATCAGCGTGGTGATGGGTAGGCAGCTATGCCACCCAAGCCTAATGCCAGCCTGTGCCTAGCTGGCCACTTGACTATTGGTAAGCATTTCATTTTTTGGGGGGAGGGGGTTTCGAGACAGGGTTTCTCTGTATTGTTTTGGAGGCTGTCTTGGAACTTGCTCTTGTAGACCAGGCTGGCCTCGAACTCACAGAGATCCACCTGCCTCTGTCTCCCAAGTGCTGGGATTAAAGGAGTGCGCCACCAACGCCCGGCGCATTTCATTTCTTTGGACCTCAGTTTCCTCATTTGCTCCTTAAGCAATTTGTCTGAATCAGTGATTCTCAACCACACCTGTATATTACAATCAGAGGACTTCAACCATTCCAGTGCCGCCACAGCACCCCAGAAGAGCACCTAACTTGGACTCCTTCTAGGGTGGCTGGCCAGGCAGCCAGCTTCCTGCAGTATGTGTGCATATATCATCTATGACTTCTAGGATCCTACCGTGTTTAGAGGTTGAAGACTACTCAGCTCATTGGATGGACTGTCCATTTGCTGTCTACTGTCAGTCACCCATACAAATGGTCTCAGTCCATATCCCTCCTGCTTTGAGGCTTGCATTTGAGAGCTTGGGACAGTTGTTTGGCTGTGGACTTTGCCCAGCTCCACCCACCCTTCACCAAGCCCCAGCCCACCTCTTGAACTTTGATGCTTGCAATCAAGGAAGCTTTCATGTAACTTCAGAGGGGCCACTCATCTGTCATGGAGGAGCCTGAACAGGACATCAGGGAGAAGCTGGCAGGTGAGTGGATCCTGTTTCCAACAGTCCTCAAAGGGAACGGTGGCAGAGGGTGGTGCTCAGGTGGTGGTGGCTAGTGTTGTAGGTAGTGGGTCAGTCATGACCAGAGCAACCGGGCCAAGGGTTCTCTTCCGGTAAGTGCTATACAAAGGCAAGCAGCAGCCAGCAGTATGTGACGCCAACTGGCACGAGGAGGGCCTTCTGGGTACTTTCTTCTCGAAACCCCATGAGGTAGGAGGTAGGGTTTCTTAAGTCCCGATTTTTGGTTAGAAAATAGGCTCAGGGAGGTTTCACACTTTGCCCAACATGTCAGAACTTGGTGCCAAAGGAAGAATTCGGGCCTGGATTTGCCTCCCCCCTCGCCCAGTAGATTTGGGAAAGTTCCTGGATGGAGTTAGCAGAGATGCACAACCGGATATTGGCAAGATGCTGCTTCAGACAGAAATCTCAGCCTCCTTCCTGGACTCAGGGCTGATGTGGGAAGGAGACACAGCCTCGACAATCTGAGTGCTGAGGAAAGGAACCTTGCTGTCGTGGGAGGAGGGGGCTGTGCTGGGCAGGACTGTCTTCTTGCTGCGAGTATTTGACACTGTCATATAAGTAGGGCTTGCATTCTCGAGAGACCAGGGCTTCAGATTTAGTGTTCTTTGGCTGTTGGTTTTGTTTTAAACTATTTACCTCAACTTCTACACGGTTAAGGGTTCTGCTTTTACCTCACCCAGGTACCACTGCCATTCCCCCCTTATCACCGTCTGTCTCCTCTACTGTCCTGTGAAGACTCATTCATGTCTTTGGAGTCTCATTGTTGTCCTGTGGTGTTGGGAACTGAACCTAGGACCTCAGATGAGATGGGCACGTACTGTGCCACTGATCAGTTTCTTCAGCCCTCCAAGGATTTTTAAGGCAGGGTTTCCTTGTGTAGCCCTGGCTGTCCCAAGATTCACCTGCCTCTGCTAGAATTAAAGGTGTGCAAATATATCACCCAGTTCCTTCAAGTGGTGTTGTCCTGGAACTCTCTGTAGATCAGGCTGGCCTGGAACTCACAGATGGCCTGCCTCTAAAAGATTTTTAATACTTCTTTCCTTTCTGCCGTGTAGCTTTGCTAGAGACCGGGAAACACAAAGTATTATGTACCAAAAATACCAGAGAATAGATTATATTTCTTTCCCACATTAGGCATCACTTCAAAATATAGAATTGGCTTCCTTTCATGACTTGGCTGGTAATTAATAAAAACCACTCAAAATCAAAACGAAGGTAGTGCAATGCTCAGAGGCCCATCTGGAAAGTTATTATGATTTTAGGATTAAAATTACTGACCTTCGCCTGACCTGCCTGAGAAAGGGGAGAAAGGCTTGGGTGGTGGGAATCTGGAAACAGAAGCAAACGCTGGGGACTGCTTCTCAGCCCCTCTTCCCATCTAATGCTCTCCCAGGTGAGTGTCAACAGGGCATGAATTCGCACTTGCCAACTGACCCACGTGATGGCAACCCTGACGACATAGGCCCAGGTAAGGACCTCTCTGTAGAGCTGTGCTCACCATGTGGTTTAACCAGTGCTGCTCTATTTCATACTACCCTTGGTAGTACGTTGGCAAGATTCATACTCAATGCCATAGTCCAAGACTATGCCATACAAATCACATCTAGTGATTGGCACCTTGCCCAATGACACGTATTTCCTAGTAACTTCTCAAGCAGCCAACTAAGTATCATGACTGCAACACATTGCTGCTGCATTAAACACCCATTGTGTATTTTACTTTTATAGGTATGGGTGCTTTTTCCTTTTTCTCCATGTCTATCTGTGCACCATGAATGTGCCTGGTGCCCTCAGAGGCCAGACGAGGCCACTAGACCTCCTGGAACTAGCGTTACAGATGGGTGTCAGCTATCATGCAGGTGCTGGGAACAGAACCTATGTCCTCTGAAGAGCACTGAGGCACCCCTCCAGCCCTCCACTGCACATTTTAAATCTCTTGCTACAGGTTGAAAAGTATAGCCAGGGTAGAGTGCTTACCCTACATGTGTTTAACACTCTGGATTTGATCCCCGACCCTGAGAAAGTCGGTAGGTGTGCTAGCACTCGGAAGGCTGAGGTAGAGAACCCGGAGTCTGTCTGGGCTGCATAGTGAAACCTGCTTCCAAAGATGACCGGGCTGAGAGCTTGCTACTCTTGCAAATGGCTCTCACCCGGCAGCTCACAACTGCCTGTAACTCCAGTTCCAGAGGATCCCACCCTCAAGTTCTCCAAAAAAATAAACAAAAACACCCTTGAGTGACTGACTGGCATCAAACTGCAAGCTTCCGGTTTGTAGACCTGACGGGGGCTCACAACTTAGGTTAACACTTTAAAGTCTCAGCTCATACAGCATCTACAAAAGTTCTACTTACTGCTCAGTTTTTAGGGTCATCTTTGCTGTGACAGTCAATAACGGCAACAATCTTTAAAATGCTTTTTTTTTAATGTAAAAAAACTTTGAATTTCTGGGTGATCAGAGCTGGTGCTTAAAGTAAGAATTCACAACTCCAAAGAGAATGACTTCATTGAGATTGAACTGCACAGACAGGAGCTGAGTTATCAGAGCCTACTACAAGTGAGCTGTTGTGAGCTGGGGATCCATCCAGAGCAAGTGGAAAAGATGAGGAAGCTGCCAAACACACTGCTCAGAAAGGTAGGCCACACAAGTACCCGATTCTGTGGGTAAACGATGTTCTGAAAGCCCGTCGTTTAGTTTGCATATACCAAGCAAGCACAGAGCTCAAGATGCTAAACTGCCTACAGGAGAGCCGCAAGGCCACTCTCAGTCACCTCTGACGATTCCACAAACCCAAACACCGGAATGACAAATGACACCTGATTTTAGACTTTATATTCAGCGCTGCCAATCTCTGCAACACTGACTGGCTAAAAAGACAGCATTGTTCTCAGACTGGAAAGTGGCCTGCTCTTACCACTTAGGGAAGGTCCACCTTTGCAGTCCCCAGACTGTTTCTTTGAATTTCTTTGCTAAGGTTAAAATGTAGATCTAAAGTGTTAATACCAGATTTCATTCCTTAAGTATCTTTTCTTCTGCCTGGCAGTGGTGGCATACCCCTTTAATCCCAGCACTAGGGAGACAGGTGGCTCTGAGTTCCAGAACAGCCTGTTCTATAAGTTCCAGGACAGCCATGGCTACACAGAGAAACCCTGTCTAGAAAAAAAAACAAAAATCTTTTCCACCCCCAGCTGGGTGTAGTGTCACACACCTTTAATCCCAGTGTTTGGGAGGCAGAAGTAGGAGGATCTCTGGGTTTAAGGCTAACCTGGTCTACAGTTGTAGGCAAAACAAACAAACAAACAAACAAAAAACGAAAAAAAAAAAACCCTCCAAAATGCCTCTGGCAATTTTTACTGATGTCTCAGTCATTGATGTATTCTTTGTACACTACTATTAAGTCACAAGAATCATACTTTCCAGATAGCTTTAACATTAAAAAAAAATTAAGCTGGGTTAGAGGGCACACACTTTGATAATCCCAACATCTGGGGAAACAGAGGCAGATGGACCTGAGTTCTAGGCCAGCCAGGATTAGAGAGCTCCTGTCTCAAAAATTAAAATTTTAAGAACAAACCAAGCCGGGTGCTGGTGGCTCATGCCTTTAATCCCAGCACTTGGGAGGCCGAGGCAGGTGGATCTCTGAGTTCAAGGCCAGCTTGGTCTACAGAGAGTATTCCAGAACAGGCTCCAAAGCCACAGAGAAACCCTGCCTCAAAAAACAAAACAAAACCCAACTGCTAACGATTCGCCATGGAGACAAAAACAAATCTGGAATGGCCTGCCATTGGTAAGCTGTATTCCAGTGACTTCATAGTATTCTAGAATCACTAAGTCTTTTCCCAACTTTTAGGACAAAGATATTCAAAGACTCAAGAACTTTCAGGAGATAGAAGTCTTGGTGAAGAGCGGAAACTCTGAATGGACTCAGCATACAGCATCACCTCTGACAGAGAGACCCTGCTACAACAGTGAAGCTGCAAAAATGACTTACTAACTCCAGAACACAAGGGTCTGGCTGGAATCACTGTCAATAAGGCCTAGACCCATGTGACAATTTGGCTAACCCCATTCAAACTTTGGACAAATTCCTCATTCCTAACCTCTGAGAAGGAATTGTTTGACAAACACAGCTACAGTACCTATGAGGCCCAGTTTATTTTGAAGTGTTGCACCCCAACACTGACACTACTACTGAGCTGCACACAGGCCCCACTTACCTATCAAACAGAATGACTTAGGATGTGAGTAAACAACTAACTTCTCAAGGCAGAGACGACCTGTGAGAACAGCTCTCATCACTGTAGTTGATGGCACCTTCACTAGCTTAAAGGTTGGTGGATGTCATATCCCAAGCCAGTTTTCTGCAGTCTACTTTTGGAGTGTTTTAGAAGCCTGTGTCACTTTATAGGCACCCAGCTGAAACTTCCTCTCTAAGCACCCACCACTCCTCAAATATCAAGTCACCTCTGGTCCCTGTGAGTTTAGAATACCAGGGCTCCTCAGGGCCCAGCACACTGTTTGTATTCCCAACTCAGAGCAGTTCCTCATCACCAACTTCCCAGTAGCTGAGATTTGAGGGAAAGGAAATACACAGAGTGAGCACTATCCAACTGCCAGAGGAAAATGGTTTATATGGTAATGTGAACCACTTCATACTCCTGTACCTGCAATGGATGGTATCCAGAACTCTAAGGGAAGGAGCACTGTAAAGATATGCATTTTTGAAGTGTTCCAAGCCCACTATTCCAGTAACAGCTGATTATGACTAGACAGGATGGATCCTCAAGTGACAACTCCCCTAACTGTGTTTTGCTTTCAACAGTACGGAAAATGTAGGCAGGGGCCTGAGGTTCTTCAGATTAATATCTAGAAATCACCATTTGCAGAACACTAAGAACTGTTTTTCAATTAATTTGTTTAAAATAATTTCTAATTAAAACAACAAATTAGGAGGGTAATGCTATTATCCAGTGGCTACAGTTTGAACAGTAATTCAACCACAAGGCTGATGAGCAAATTCTCACTTGCTCTAAGCATACTATACTAATAAACAAAATGGAGGGGGAAGAGGCACACATGGGGCTCCAGTAGCCCAGAGGGCTTTAGATTTTCTGCATAGCTGAGGGATGACCCTGAACCCTCGAACATGCTGGAATTACAGATTCGAGAGCTTCAAGAGGAAGTACAATTAAGTTTTACCTTGAATGTAACAGGAAGCAACTTCACTAAATAACTCCCAAACTGCTTTAAGAGAAATGAACCATCCAGAGAAGAACATTAGACTAAGAAGCCCAGAACATATATAGGTTACAATAAAACCAACATCCGACTCCAATATGCCCACACACAGCCTGCTTATGTACAATGATGGAGACTGGTATGTGCCTCCCTTTGTGCTGTGCTCACGGGAAGCAGTCCAGGTGCCGCTCACAGCAGCCAGAGGAGACAGCAACAGGTAAAGGGAGGTGCACAAGCAGCACCTGTTCTCTTCACCGATCCACCCATTAAGATCCCCGGTTGGCCAGGCAGTGGTAGCACATACCTTTCTTTAATCCAAGCACACAGGAGGCAGAGAGGCAGGCAGATCTGAGTCTGAGGCCCGCCTGGTCTACAGAGCCAGTGCCAGGAAAGCCAGGGCTGCACAGAGAAACCCTGCTTGATAAATGAAGCAAACCGCCACAACAAACCCAAAAACTATCCTCAGCTCATCTCAAAAGGACCAGGTCTCACCCGAGGAGTGGGATGTGATGGAACTGCTAGGAACTAATGCTTGGCTTTGTGAACCCCTAGGCATCCGCTGGGGTTTTTCAAATCCTAATGACTTTTTCTTAAAAACTAAACATTTTTGTTAATACTTTGTGGCACCTAACCCTTCCTTGAAAGGCTGCTTAGAAGCACCCTTTCTCAGGCTGCCATATGAATGAAAGGAAAGATAACACATAGTGTGTGTATGCCTTGTATGAAGTGTAAGTGTGGTAGTGTACTTATAACCTTGGGAGGACTACAAGCAATTGGGAGAAAGGTTTCCAAGTTCCAAGCTAGCCCAGGCCACACAGTGAGACCATTTAAAGAATAAAAGGAGAAAGTGTGCCTTTTTAATCTGCCATGCACCGAGGTTAATTTAGTATGTTTATTAGTCACTACCTACACCAAAACCTTTCCCACTTAAAAAATTTTTTATTAAGAAATAGCATATACACAAAAGCACACAAACATACAATTCAAAAAGAAAATAGCCCGCCCATTCCTCTGAAAGCCCCTTTGCCCTCCAAGGTCATTCTCAAAGTAGCAGCTAACTGTGATTTGTATGTCAATTGTTTCATGTTTCTCTTTCATTTACCATGAACCTCTTTTGACCTTTCCCAAAGTGAACCATAATGCATAGATCCTTCTGTGGCTTGCTTTTTGGGGAAAATATTACATCTTGAGTCATCCATGGTCACATGTAGAGCCGGAAGTTCATGTTCATGCCAGTGAATTCCGTGGTGGGGATGTGTCACACTAGTATCTTCCCAGGGTTTTGTTGGTTTGGGTTTTCTTTTCTTCATTACACAAGATGACATTAAGACATTTGTTCATCCATCTCCTGGCAATATTTAAGAGTTTCTCAAGAGTATGTACCTAGGGCTGAGTACAGCACACTTAGCTGTGCCAAACTGTTTCCAAAGTTGCTCCTAAACAACCTGTTGATAGACAACTGATCTACTGGGGATGGCTGAGGGGAAGAAATAGATCAACTATGAAACTCTGGAAATGCATCTTAATAAAAAATCATTAATTCTGACACAATGAAAATGTCATTTACCCTGTTTTAGCTAACTTGAAACATACTTTAAAAGCAACATGCTCAACTTCAAAGTGCTGTATCCTACATCTCAAAATGCTTCCAAATGTAGTTAAGTGAAAGTGGCAAATTCAGAACATATATGAGAGACACTATCAGATATAGAAGACATCTATTTATATTGTATATATTCCCCACCTCCTACTTCCTGCCCCACCCAAGTGCTTGGAATAGGCAACATCAGAACTCTTTAGAGAAGCACACAGATAACTGAACGGCTGTTGCTTTTAAACCAAGAACAGGCATTACAATTGCAGTTATCAAACAAGTTAAAATGCAGAAATCCTGGGTCCTTTCACAAGCAAATGAAAACCAATCAAAAATATGGGCTTGAAAATCAACCCTGAATAAACTGTCACCACATAGAATGTTTTGTGCACATAGAAGGCGGTTAGGCATACGTACACACATCACTCATCGACTATGCATCTTTAAAAACACAAAGATGTGAACTCAAAAACCTTCACTACTAAATTTCTAGTTTATACATCCCTAAAATTTCTAATTAGATGGCTCAGCTTACAAGTTAGTGAACCACTTTCTCAAACCTCTGGAATGACCTTTGGTCCTCCTGTGACACCAACTATATTCAAGGTGAGAAATGTTCTAGAAGAACATATCTCAGCAGAACACCATGAACAACTTAACAACTCATGATTACAAAGTGCAAAAGTGGTAGCTGGAATCGGCTGCCGAGGCCATTGTCTAGTCTGTCTACACTCTACAGATGTTCGTCTTCTGTTCTCTTGAGTTACAAGGTAAAGGACTATCAGTCTGGGAACTATAAAGTAAAAGCTCATCGGATTTTACAATGAGCCATTTGAAGAATCTCCTCTTTCAGAGACATGGGTTAACAGCATGAGACTTGCTTAAGAAGACAGAAAAGCACACACTTGCACGCGCGCACACACACACACCCCACCCACACCTAATACATACAGACACATGCACACACACAGACTAGCTATAGCTATGAGACTTATAGGAGATTAAGTTAACAGAGATTTCGATTATACTGTTATATTTTCATGAGGCAAAAAAATTAAAAATAAAAAGCATTTTAAAAAAGATGAACTGCTTGCCCTGATTTCAAAATTACACAGTATTTGATTAAAATCGGCTTTCTCCCATAAGACATGACACACACACACACACACACACACACACACACACACACACACACACACACACACACACACACACACACGACAGAGACAGTCAAGTCATCTGGTCTACAAAACAGAAATGTTTCTTACAGTAAGTCAGTACCCAGCCTCTACACCAGATACCTGCATCTGCATCAATAGATCTATGTGTTCACAGAGGATGTCTCGTCACAGAAGCCCACTTGTTATACTTCGTTTAAATTCACTACTGAGTCTAGATGAGGCAGAAGAATGCAATCTGGCATTTCAATACTTGAGCAGATTTCTTACATTATGTTCTTAATACAACGTCATCAAACTACATGCTACACAAAGCAGAGCTTAGAGTCGGGTGACTCTGCATCTGCCAGACAACTATCTTCATTTCCACCCGCCTTCTCTCTCACAACTTCAGAGACAGCCTCCCCACCTAGTGCTGCATCTCTAGATCAGCTGGGTAGGCCAGCAGGGCCCTGTCCCCATTTCTCATACAGTGTCTCTAAAAGTGGTGACTTCATGATTCAAAGTTTGGTAGAGTATTTTACTTCACAACGCACACTAGAAGGAACAGTGGCACAACAGTGAGAAGAGTGAAGACCCAGTCTCTGTGTCCTAACACTGATCAACATGAAGCCATTTACTAGATAAGCCATTTGCTCGGTTTCTTTACCTATAAACTGCTGTTAGCATTGAAAAACTATAAGTCACAAGGAACTGCTATGATATATAGAAACATATGTTCTTGGGGATAATACTTTATACAGTTGAATGGAACTAAGTATAAACATGCTGCTACTTCCATGTGAAATTATTGCCTGCTTTGTTTTTCAAATGTCCTTGTTGCATACACTACACACTCCATATACAGAAATATATACATTTATAAATGGCTAAGACTGGGTTAAAAGAAATTTCAGTATAGAATTTAAAGAAAAAAAACTTGTTGAAAGTTTCTGAATGTTTGCCTAAATCATTTCATAGATTGACAGAGGAAGACAGAGTTTGTAAGGTTATTCAGAACCTTTTACTATTAAAGAAACCTCTCATGGGTGTAAAAATATATTCTAGTTCACTATACACCTTTGCTATTAAAAGCAAATCCAAATTTATTCATAACCACCCAAAATTGAAGCACCATTAAAACATGAAATGGGAAGTTCTATAAAAATTACCCTTCAATAGGACAAGTTAGAAAAATGTTCACTAACACTTGTATTAATAGTGTGCCTCATATTTAAAAACAAGGGACTAGATTGGAGTCAACAGCTTTATTAGAAAAAAAGCAATACTAAACCCTTTCAATGACACAGACAATCAACTCTGTAACAGAAAGTCAGAGATACTTTATTTTCACTTCTAAATCCAAAGGCTAAGTATAGCAGAAGTGTAAAAATGGAATCCCACTCAGTCTGCTTCACATGAATACTAACGTTTAATCCTGTTTTCAAAGTCCGAGACTGAAAACTTGCAATTAAACACTGAGCAAGCCACATATTTAGGCAATATTTCTTAAAAAGTCTTAAAGAAAAAATATGATACAGGACCTAAGTTTTCAAAGTGGCATATGTGCTAATAACACATGTTCTGAAATCTGGTAGGTCACAACAGTCCTGAATTAATTTTTAATAATAATAATAATAAAAAAACATATAACTAACTGAGCTTTATACTTTCTCTATGCCACTATAGCTTTCTTTCACCTCATTTTAATGATGATCTTCACTTTATGCCGTTTTCAGTATTCTTCAAAAAATCTTCAACAGTAGTCCTACAATGCAAAATTTGGGGAAAATTGATAATTAGACAGCATATAAAAGGTAAAATTTTATGACTAAGTGTTGGCCCAGTTGCTAACTGCTAATCATGACATGTGTATTTGAAATGTCTGTATTGTTTTTACATCAAGGCATCAATGTGGTTCTTAGAGCCATGTGCCTGTGTATGCTGCCTATGTGTGAATGGTTCACACAGACATAACTACGCTGCTTTTCTAAAACAGGAATGCCACCAATTTATCAACTAATTGGTACTTCCTTTCATTAGGATTATTTCATCCCACACCACTAGCCCGAAGACTGAAGTTAGAGGTTTTAAGAAAACCTATAAAACCTAGCTTTAAACAGTTCTTTAAGAACCCAATCTCATCTGATAATCAATCAGGTCTTCATGTCACTGATCCACGTGTCTGTCCCTGCTACATGCTGTGGCTTTCAATGTCTCAGCCAGTGACTATTCCTCTATACTATGGCTGACTGCAAATTCTCCTACACAGTAGGAAACATTAAACACATACCTCTTAAAGACTTGAGAATTGCACTGAATGTAACAAGGCGGATAATATGAGGTGTTTATTGTATTTAAAATTCTTTAAAGATATCTAATTCTGGGCACCACTGCATCCCTACACACAGTTGAAAAAAAATTCCATTCTGTTAACATATGATTTGTAAGATTTCACGCAATACACAAAAAACCCCTCTGCGCTTCTTGTAAAGAACAAAAAGGATACACAACAGTTAAGCGTAAAGGTCACAGGCAATAGCATTCAAACACGGATGTGGGTAGAGAAAGGAGTACCTGGCATGAGTACCTGCTTAGTTTGACTGAATCCTTGATTTCTAATTTGGCTTTTCATGGGCCGCTCACAACACCAACGCTGTGTGAGGTATGGTAGTCAGCTGCAATAATTCATAAACCCTACACTTCCATCAATCCAATGCTACTGGCTCTCGAGTTACAGAACAAACTGCATTAGAATGCAAGGCAATAAAGCAAAAAACTAGAAACATCCTTGACAAAGAAATACTAGCAGTTTAATTAAAACAAAGTAGTCCAACATGTGCCTCAGAAATAGTTAAGTTTTTACAGCATATGTCTCTGCCAATGTACCAACACAAGATGGACTTAATACCAAAAAGAAAAAAAAAAACAAAAACAAAAACAGTTCAACCTTGTTATTAAAAAAAAGAAATGACAGCAAAATCCCTAAAAAAAAGGATAATTAACTTTCAATGGCGACTATATTACATACGTGGACAGTAATTTCCAAAGAGGCACACTAATGGGGGCACGAGTCTGCTACAAAATAGCTGAGACAAAACAATGTACCTCAAAATGTTTTGCAGGACTACACTGTCTTTTCCTTCAGAAGAGCCTTTTGTATGTCTTCTTACTCGGCTTAGATCCGTCTTCATCTGTGCATACTTACGCTGCACTGTCAAACAGTAACAAAAAGCCCTAATCAAAGTGAGAAACAATACACTTACCTCTGTCTGATCTGAGGTCTTATCAGATCAGTTTTAATTGGACTGAGTGTCACCTTCAGATTTAATGTCTTCACTGGTCCCATTGACCTCATTCTTAGTATCACTTTCCTTCGATTCAGTGTTTGTGTCTTCACTTTGTTTTTCTCGACTACTGGACTTCACACTACTCTTTTTATCATCAGATCCCCTCTTTTCTGCCATAAAAGAAGACAGTGACCATGGAATTTAGAGTAAAATACAACCAATACATTACTCTTTTAAAAGGGAAACAATAGAGATGAAAGATCCATTTCCCACAGCCTGCAAGAAACAGTTTGCAGAATTCACCAGTGATGTCATAGACCAAGAAGGGGACTGAAAGAAAGCAGAAAGTAAAACAGCAAATTTTCTCAAACTTGTCAAAAGTTGATAAATTCACCTCATAATTTAGAACTTCAGTAAATTTCATTCTAGATAAAGAATATACAAAGGCAACAGGAAAGGTATAAAAGACAGTACACGAAGCTGTAAACATGAGGCTAATTAACCT